TTTTTCTTTTTAAAAAAGGAATGGAGGGGCTGGGCTTGGTAAGAAATTCCAAGTAGCTGACTTTGTGGCATCTTGGATCCCGGCGTTGTAAGAACCTCCAATTGAATAAGGGGTAAAAACTGAGGCCCAGAAAGATTGGTTGAATGACCCAAGGTCAGACAGCAAGAACAATGCAGGTCTCCTGCTGCCTTACAGCAGGGCAGTGACCCTAAGCCACACTGCTCTGCTGGGGAGTTCTAAGGATTGGAACCCCCAGCTGGGTTGTCACTTTGCTTTGTGATCTTGGAGAAGCCCCATAAGCTCTTTGGCTTTCAGTATCCTCATCTGTAAAATGAGGGTGCTCCCACCTGCCCCTCAGATGGGATGCCATGGCCTATGGCGCATGTTGATGTTTTCTCTTTATGTTTATTTTTGAGAGAGACAGAGAGAGCACAGGGGAGGGGGAGGGGAGGCAGAGAGAGAGAGAAGGGGACAGAGGATCTGATGCAGGCTCTGTGCTGACAGCAGAGAGCCCAAAGAAGGACTTGAACTCTGTGAACTGTGAGATCATGACCCGAGCTTAAGTCAGACGCTTAACCCACTGAGCTACCCAGGCTCCCCAAAGCTTACTCTTAAACACGTTTCTTGGCACTCCTTGAGGTGGGCCAAGTGGGGCTGAAGCCCCACGGTCACAGCCACTGTCTTTCCCAGTCAAACTTTGCCATGGGCAGGCTGCCCTCCACCTACAGAAAGTGCTACATGTTGGACTTCGGGCTGGCCCGGCAGTACACCAACACCACGGGGGATGTTCGGCCCGTGAGTATTGTTGTTCGTGGGAAACCCTGGCCCCCTCACCCGGCCCCTGACCTTCACCAATTTTTCCTGCAGCTGCCTAAGCAAGCCCGGCCCGTGTTCAATATGAGTGTCACCCAGCTCAGTCTACGCTTGGCCCGTCTCCTGGCTCCCTGGGCTCTTGGTGGATGCCACATCCACACCTTGTGATCTGGCTGCCTACCTTGGTCAGAGATGGATACAGGGGCAGGGAGCAAGGTCAGGAGGCAGGTGTAGGACTGGGGTTGGTGTGTCAGGCTTGCCCCTGACCAGGCCAGCATGGGGGTTGGTGGAGAGGGAAAGCAGTCAGGGTTAAAGTAGGCAGTTAGGCTCAGTTAGCAGGGCTGAGATGTGGCCCAAATCAGGGGCAGCGGGTGAGTGTCCTGCTGTGTTCTCCCTTCTACAGCCTCGGAATGTGGCCGGGTTTCGAGGGACTGTTCGTTATGCCTCAGTCAATGCCCACAAGAACCGGGTGAGTGGCAGAGCTGTGGGCCTGAGGATGCGGGGGCAGCAGGGCCCAGGTCAGGGCCAGAGGAAGGGGAAGAGGGTCGGGTGGGCAGCTGTTGAGGTGGGGAGAGAAGTATGGGGCAGGGGCCGGAAGCTGCCAAGCCAGAGGCCATGAGTGGAACAAGATTTTGCGGCCATTTCTCCATGACTTTACCTTCTTCCTTGTTTTTCGGGATTCCCTCCTCTCTGCTCCCACCATCAATCTGTGTGGATACAAGTTTTGAGACTCATACTCGATGTGTGTTGGAGGGTCAGGGATAGAGGCAGGGTTTGGCTGTCAGGCCTCCCTGAAGGGTCCCCTCCTTGTGAAGGATCAGCCCACGCTCCCAGGAAGGACCTGAAAGGTGTGGGTGACTCCCCTGTCGTCCCCCCCCCCCCCCCCCCAGGAGATGGGCCGCCACGATGACCTGTGGTCCCTTTTCTACATGCTGGTAGAGTTTGCAGTGGGGCAGCTGCCCTGGAGAAAGATCAAGGACAAGGTGAGCCCTGTGCAGGTGGGGCTGAGGAGGTGGAGGGGGCGTGGGGTCGCCGGGGCTCCATTACCCTGTGCCCTGTTGCCTCCAGGAGCAGGTAGGGATGATCAAGGAGAAGTATGAGCACCGGATGCTGCTGAAGCACATGCCCTCTGAGTTCCACCTCTTTCTGGACCACATTGCCAGCCTCGACTACTTCACCAAGCCCGATTACCAGGTGGGAGCCTACCACCTGGTCCCTGCACCCCCAGACGTCTCTCTGGGGGTGACCATCCCCAGCAGCACCCATACTGCTGAGGCCCCACTCCCCTGTTGGCTTAGCCTCGTGTAT